AGGGATCCTTGGATATAACTGAATTGCCCAGTTCAGCGGTATTCTGAAATTTAACCTCAAGAGTCATTCTTGACCATCAATCTTGAATTATTCTTTCAAGGTTTCTACAAGCTTATTGATAATCAAACAAGTTTTAAATTTAAAATATTGAGACATAGAACAAGAGGTTTGACTCAATTGATCCACATCCCAATTTAATGATGTCCAGTACCTCCTTGTTTGTTTTACTTTATGTGTGTACTTTGTTCTTTTTCTTTATAATTTTAAATAATTTTTGTGGTCTTGCTGATCTGTGACTATTCTTTGATGCTTTAGTTTTAATTTGGGCTTCAGGTCAATACAATTTACCAGCTTCCTCAAAGTAACATGTTGTTGATTGTTCAGTTGCATTATGGAGGGTTAGCTCTGGTTCAACTTCAAGTAAGACTGTGATCATGAAGAGGGACACTGCTTCCTAGAGCAATTAATATTTAATGGACCAATCTAGTTACAAAGAGGTCAGGATGTAGTGGTTGTGGTATTGTTCAAAGATGGCTGAGATTGACTGTGAGGGAAGACTGATAACTTTGGTGTAGTGCTGATGGAAATGAGCTGTAATTGATAACTCTGAGCTGTTATCAATGCCTATGAGGTGATTCTGATCATGGGGAGGTGATGCCGATTACTGGAAAGAGTCAACAATAGGTAGGAGGTGGCAAAAATCACTTGGAGGAGTAGTCAATGACTAGAAGGATGTACCAATGGTGAGGAAGTAATTACAATGGTGGGGAGATGAAACCGATGACTGAACAGTGGTACTTATGACTGGAAGGTGGTACGGATGACTGGTTGAATAGATGTGGTGATAGTATTGCTGATAGGGTCAGGTAGGAGTAGAAGAAGCTTAAATATAATCAAGATGACCATGAACAAGACAATGGACTGTCTGTTCCTCAACTTCATGGTAGGCAGGGTAATCGTTCTTGATTGGTTGAATCATGCTTTCTCACTCAATTGTCAATACCAAGGTCTTCTGCTGAGTACGATGTATGCTATCAATCACCCAATGATGTCTGTACATATTCAGGGCCTCCTGTGATTTTGGAATCATTATATTTGAATTGGTTTCTAACCAAGACTTTGGCAGCTGCTCAGAGTATGTAGATATATTTTTGAAGGTCACAAAAGAGATCACATGAAATAAGTTGAGTAGATGGACTAGATGATTAGCCTGTAGGATCGCGATTTCAAGCATTGCCGGTTGGATGAGCTCAAAATATGGTGAAAGAGGTTGGTAGCAATCCAACAGAATCAATTGGATAGCCCAGAAAGCCAAGGGAAACCTTTTTAAAGTACATGACAAAGCTTTTCTAATGGCTATTCCTACCTGTATCTTGCATGAGTTTCTGATCATCAACGCAAGTGAAGTATTGGGTGTAGATTATGAGGACAGCGATGAACTTCTTTGATGAATTGCAAATGTTCTGGGAATCGGGGTGCAGGTTGTAAAGCCAAAAGGCTGTCAACTAGAAAAAAAAAAACACTTATCTTCATAAGTTTTATTCTGTCTTGGTTGATTCATCGGAAGGTAAACCCAGTCCTTGGTATTTAATCTTAATGACATTATGTATCCTAGCTGATTCCGGTATCAATTCAAAAGGCTTGATAGATGACTTTCCCTTGATATTTGGGATCGAGAACCTGGATTTATTAGGATCCAAAGTTGTTGAGTTAATCGGAAGCATTAGGGACTCCTTTTCAATCAGCTGTATCGGACTATAGTATGATCGCAATGTGCAACTGTGGGTAGAAGCCAGTTGTTTCTGTTCAGCTGATAGACTCGATGATGAGTTGAGCAGCTGTCGTGGTAGATCGGTTGATAGGAATAAGATAGTTAACTGGAACACAAGAATTTGTCTTGAGTGTTCAACCAAATCATCTGATCCTTAGCTAGTGAGCATGGCTTTGTTTCAAGATTTTCCGACTGTGCTTGAAGTTGACTCAGCGGTTGCCCAATCAATTCAATCTCTCTTTCGATTGCCGTATTAAACAGAAGTGTGCATTAATCAAATAAAATCCTCGATAGGAATTGAGAGAGAACATGAAGAGGAAAAAAGAGAGGTGCTCTAGTGTGGTGCAGTGCTGATAGGACAAGCTGGATGTAGGTATAAAAAAGGCTTCAATGCAGTCACGATGACAATGAACAAGACAATAGACCATCTGTTGCTCAATTTCATGGCCGGCAGGGTACCTAATCGTTCTTGATCGTTTCGATAGTGCTTTCTCAATCAATGATCGTGCTTTCTCAATCAATCCTGCTTTCTCAATTGATCGTCAAGACCATGTCTTCTACTGAGTATGATGCTTGCTATCAATTACCCGATGATGTCTGTACATATTCAGGGCCTCATTTGCTTTTGAAATCACCATATTTTAATCGATTGCTAGCTGTTGGATTTGTTGGCACTTTGAATCAAAGTAAAACACACTCTCTTTTGATTGATTAGGATAGAATAAATAGCAAGTGTGAAAGAAGAGATATACAAGTAATTCATCTCAGTCAACCAGAAGAAGAGACCTGAACTGGTCGAAAAGATTAATGCTTGGAAGGAAGGCAAAGTAAATTTGAATTGATGGATTGATTCATAACTCTAAAAAATTGACTCCAAAGTGTACTGCAATCGCTACTGCGGGCAGAAGCCAGCCGTTTCTGTCTAGCTGATGGACTAGATGATCAGCTAGTAAGATCAAGAGCAGTATGGGTTGATGCTAAGGGGGGATAGAGATTGTGTGATTGTGGAGATGATCAGGGCTCTTGACTGAGACTGGGTGATGACTGACTAGAGAATCTCAAAAGATTCATTATCGAGGGATAGACTTATTCCCATATCATTAATTGTGTTGTTCAAATTCAATGGCCTCTTTGATTTTAGACATTTGGGCTTCCTTCAACTGAAGTCGGAGCTTTTAGTTTTTCTTCACAAGCCTGTTGGGCGACTCGTTTCCAGTACTTGAGGTATACACAGAAATTGTTCTGGTTGTATTGGATTGTCTGAGGTCGTCGGGCAGTCTTCTTGAATCCAATCCCGCTATTTGTCTTCTTTGTGCTAGATATCGATGAGTGTAGCCTGGAAGTCATAGAAATCTTCGTAGAGACAGTAGAGTGCCAGGATGGTAGTCTGCCCATCCCGACCGTCTTCTGAGATCCGACTGAAGTGTGCTCGGAGGTGGAACCAGTAGTCGAAGTGAAACGACTCAACACTCGCATGCACAACAACCCCATGTTGTTCTCTAAGCTCCTCGACGGTCGCATAACCATCTCCCTTGGGACCTGATTGTGGTGGATATGGTTTGTCTTGGCAACCTTGGCCCTGCTGGGTCAGCGACTGTTGAGAGTTTGAAGAGGAATTTGTGGGGGCGTTCCAGGGCGTGTTGGCTGAGGACTGTTTTGAGTGGTTGTATGCTGATGGATCGCCGCCGGCACCATGCCACGAGCCAAGCTGTGGGCCTCGGCCAGACAGAGGACAATCACGGCCCGCGCCAGAGGGTCATCTCATATGCAATGAGGATGCCGAGCGGGACGAGGTAGGGTGATTGAATTAGCCTCCTGTGGTTGCTGAGTAGTTAGACATCAATTGTTGGTCTTGATGTTTGGTGGGAAGAAGTAGGGGAGATGACTGTAAACGTAATGTGCCCAACTAGTTTACGCATAAGACAGAGGATGAAGATCTTCTTTGAGAAGCAACGGAGTCGGAGGGTAGTTTGAGTTCCTTTTTGCCCCATGGATTTTGGAGCCCGCAAGAATGAAGATGGATGGATAGTTGTCTTTTTAAGGCAGGTTTTATAAGTTGGCAAGAGAGTCACAATGGTGACTTCGATGATGCACCAGAGGCGTGTGATAAGAGCAGGAGATGGGTCTTATATCGTTGAATCTCTTTGTTTTTAGACCACACATGGAAGTGTTTGATATTCTTAATGATTTTTATTAATGGTAAACATTAATTGGGTCTTTTTTCTTTCAAATGGGTTTGAAGGAAAAGTTCCCGGCCAGACCCCCAATTGTCAGCCACCGTGATGCCAAGATGGTAAATCTTCTAGCTACACGTGGTGCAAAACTTAAGATGACAGAGTTCGAGCTCTGGAACTGCAGAGTTTGGGTGGTAATTCCAATGATGATTGGTAATTACAAGGTTATTAGATAGTAGAAATGAATAATTATATCAATAAATATTGATATAATTTAAACAGAGGGGCCTGATAAATCAGGGGTTGTTTAATCCCTCAAAGGTATCGTGCAAAAGCAGAGGATTTAGGTACCTGATAACACTGGGGCCTGTTTAACAGGGGTGGTTTAAATCCCAGAAGAAAGTAGTAAGAATCTCAAGAAAGAAGGGGGCACTATGTACTAATAAAGCCCCTTAAGTCTTGAGGTTCTGATAGACAGAGAATTAAAGCAAGAGACAATACATTACCAGACAGATACAAATGTTAAGCATTTGGGACGGTGGGTAATCTAAAGTGGGTTGTAATAATCTGAGGAATCCTTATTTGGGGGGACAGAGGGCTCTTTATATACCCGTGGAGGCATCTGGGAGATAAGGGTCAACTTGTGGGCACTTCATGCATGGAGGCTGAAACGTGTGACAATATCCCTGGAAATGTGCCACAGGTGTTCTGTAGAAGATGAAAGCTGAAACATGTGGCTATTTCCTTGGAAATGTGCCACACACGTGCTATCAATATACAAATGCATGTTTGAAACAGCAAATCAGTTTCAAGTCTTAAACCTGTTTATTAGCATATTTAATTATAAACATAAGCATATTTCATTTCCTGCTTGGAGGTACACCCTATGTCTTTAATGTAGATTTGCCACATGAAGTAGCTGAAATATAGGGTACCTTTGAGTGAGGTACCATAGGTTATTCTCCATATAGATTAATAATATTGAGAAATAATGCCCTTATTATTTGATCTTCTCATTTATTTTCAGTACTAGAAAACATCTCTGGTGAGTAATAATGTCTTTTTGTATTTTATATTATGTTTGTGTACTATGACAGGTTGTCTCTGCTATAGTAGCAAGCTGACAGTAAGCCAGTTTTACAGACTCGGTATGCATAATCACACCCTCATGCCCTCTTTAGGGCTCTTTAACAAACTAGTCTGTAGGATTTTTGTTCCAGCTCGCTAGATTTACCAACAACTACAGAGGCTCTCTAAGAGGCATTTTAAAGAGCCTACCAACTGTTGGTACCAAACCATTCACAATCAAAGCACAACTACCAGCACTGATGGCCACCCCTACCACCCCCACCACCCCAGTAGAAGAAACCACCGATACCACTCAAACAAAGAAGAAAAGAGGTCCAAACTGGCTTCCCCGCAAGGAAGAACAGCTTGCAATCTCTTGGATCAATGTCAGCAAACAACCTGAATTTGCGACAAACCAGTTGGGTGAGACCTTCTATCGGAAGATTGAAAAGGATTTTAACATACACTCCAAGGCCCACTATTGCGATCATGGTCAAATAAAAACTTGGTAAGCTTTCAATTCCAACAATGTTTAAACTAATTACTAATACCACCCTCCTAGATGGACTGCTATGAACACCTTGACTCTTAAATTCTCTGTGATCTATAATGCAATCAAACACAATCCTCCCAGTGGTTCTAGTCCCAAGGACTGGCTTCAAGCTGCAAAGATGAACTACCAAGACCAGACCAAAGGGACTGCATTCAACAACCTCTCAGCATGACAAAAGCTCCGTTACGCACCAAAATGGCGAGCCAACCCTTGAGTAGATCAGCCATCCACCCCAGTTCCAATCCCATCATCTGAATCAATCAACCCTGACACTTCTCTTAATGAGAACACCATTACCCCAAGCACGTGTTCGTCATCTTCAATTTCTTGTCCAATTGGGGGGAAGGCCGCTAAAAGACGACAAATCAAGAACTACCAACACGATGAATTACTCTCTCAAACAAAGGGCAACAATATCCTCCTGGAAAAAAATAAAATCATGCAGGGAAAGCTTGAAATAGAACAGAAAAAACTCCAGCTAGAAGAAGAGAAGATCACCATTGAGAAGGATTATTGTAAAAGTGAAACCAAGATGAACGAATTCAAGTTTCTCTGTGATGCCAAGGACCTTGGGGACAAGGAGAAAAAGGATGTCCTCAAGATAATCAAGGATAAAATTAAGAACAAGGGGTGTGCAAGAGCTGCCTTATAAGCTTCTCCTTGTCTTTTATCACCTCACACTTGGGTTTCTTGCCTCTTGATCAAATCTTGTCTATTTGACTCTTTGCTTTCCCTCAAACAATTTTCTTGATCACATTTTTTTCTCACTGATTGTTTTTTATGTTGAGTTTCAATGAGTAGAAAGTAAGACATGGAGTTGAAGTTGATTGATTTGATAGATAAAAAAAAACAATATCAATAAATTCAATAGAAAGTACATCCCAAGGCCTAGGCCCTCTCATTACCCACAAGCAACCAGTTTTGAGGTCCCAGCGCAACTGCACATGAGTTTCTGGGTTGTGCAAGTCAAAGTTGTTCTGAAGGTAATTGGCCCAGGTATGTGCGAGGTTTGGGTCTTGATGATTTGGAATGATGCCAGCTGAAGGAAGGGTCAGAAAAGGATCAGCTGGTGATTGTTCTTCCACAATCATGTTGTGTAGAATGATGCAACACATCATCATTTCCATAACATCTGTCTTCTACCACAAGCAACAGCCCCTGGTTAAGCAATGCCAGCGTGCTTGAAGGAAATCAAAGGTTCGCTTGATGTCTTTTTGGGCAGATTCCTAAAGTCTGGTGAAGTGTTTGCACCACCCTGTGGGTTCTTGATTGAAGCAACCAAAGTTGATGCTTGCGGCCGCTTCTAGAACCATGGTTGGCTTTTTTTCCTTCCCTTTATACTGGCCTGCAAACCCCGATGGACAATTCTTCCATGCCCAATGCATGCCGTCGATGCTCCCAATACACCCTGGAAAACCCCGCTCTTCATTCTTGCTGAGGATCACTTGGAGTTCTTTGCGGTTTGGAGGTCGCAGATATTCAAGGCCGTAGATTGCAATGATGTGTTTGGAAAACAGCTTGAGTGTTTGGATTGTGGTCATTTCGCCAATTCAAACATATTCATCCACGGAGTTGGCACTAGACCCATAGGCCAATAGTCGGAGTGCCGCTGTAACCTTTTGATGGGTTGACAGGCCCATCTGGCCACAGCAGTCCTGGAACACGTGGAAAATTGAAGATCATTAATGAGTCAAAGAATCTATCAACAAGAGGGCAATTCATTACCCACTACTTTGAGAATCCAGAATCGATCATGTTGCTGAAGATCACTGCATATCTGATTGAACAAATTCTTGCTCATCCAGAAGCGCCACTCAAAGATTCAATTGGGATACACTGGATGTTTGACAAAGTCATTGGCCATCAAACGTTCGTTGCCTGTGATGTGATTCCGGAGTATGATTTCTCTCTTGCCGCTTTGGATCATTCTGGGGATGGGCTGGGCTGCTGCTGCCAGGAGGCGTCAAGTAAGAACTTCCTCTTTGAGATCTCTGAGGAAATAATTGGAGGGTATCGGGATCCATTGTGAAGGAAAGAGATGTCGATGCTCCGGTGGTGAGTTTTGATTTACCAAAGTTGTTTCAAATCATATAATGGATACAAGGGGTGGCACCGGGATTGGTATCTAAATCTGAGTTCCTCTACCAAAGCAGATGCCAAGCAACAAGGGGGGGGGGGGGTTCTCATTAGGTAAGCAATCCAGCCTCGCGGGACTTGGCTGGCTACCTAAAGATTTACCGCCACAATGGTGGATGCTCTTAGGACTAAAGTGCCCCTGCTTGACTGAGGGGATCTGAAAATTGACCCTTGACTTACACAGTCTGTAGCTCACTCATTTTTTGAGCTACATATGTCTTTCTGTAGAGGGAAATATGTGCTTGCAGTCACCTTATGTTGCCTTAACTCAACTTGGTTTTGCAAAAATTGTTGTCTGCAAAAAGATTGAACTCAAAACAGTGAAAAGGAGATCTTGATGCCAGATGGAAAACCTGAGCCGTGCAGTCTAAGATAGACAAAACCAAGTTCAATTTGAAATTTGTTCAGAAATCAATGGTTCAATATAATTTTTAGCTTTTGAGATCCAAAAATTGATGGAGTCAAGCAGATCCTACCTTCCAGTAGCTTGGCCCAGATTTGTTGCAACTACAGTCTGTAAAAATTGTTTACTGGATTTTTTGATTTTTTGGTGGATGGCCTCAGTCGAGTACCCCCACTTTAGTCATAATTCCCTCCCTGTGGTCGGGTAGGGTTCAGTGCTTCACCACTGCACGCCCAACCACAACTGGGCGTGACTTAGAGGACTTTAGCTGGGAAATTCAACCACACCGTGCTGAGCTAAGGTCAAGCCAAACTAGCTTGTGGCTCCAATTTGAGCTAACTGTTGCTAGATCTAGCAACTGTTATCTCAGAAGCAAGATAAAAGCAAACACCTGTGAGTGTACTTCATTTTGGTGCCCTCCTGCAAACAATCACACACCTCTACTTCAAATCACACCACACAGCTTAACCTCAAGCCACACCAGTGTGACTGAATAGGATCCACTATAGTAGCTTAGCAATAGCCGCGGGATAAAACCACTGGCTTTTGGCTCAACTGGTAAAGATGCTCTTATGAACTATAACTTGTCTAAATAGATGAGAGATAAAATGAGCAAAACTGTTCTGGATGTGTGTGTTTTGTGTATCATTGAGACAAAATGATTGCTTTATGTATGTGGTCAGCATCTTCACAAGCTATTTATGTAGTGTAAAGGACAGACCTCATCATTGAACCTTTTATTCTCTAGGCCATTCACGCAGAGTTGGCAGAGATGAAGGTTTCTCTCTACATATTATAATACTCTTCATACTCATGATATGAATGGTATGTTTAACAATTATTATTGCATGTATTTGTCTTTCCCAAAAACCTTGGCCACTTTCCAATCCAATTTTGTGTCTTTGAAAGACATAATGTTTTTTTGCTTGGTTTTATCTTGCCATTGGTCAAATAATTCCCAAAATCAATCCCCCCCCCTCCCCCCAGATACACTATCCTCCAGTAGTTGGTCTTAGAGCAGAGGTGATCCAAATCCGGGTTCAGATTCTGAACTGGAGCTACTCGTACATACAACCCAGAGACTGCCCATCAGGTAGATTAGTGGGGTTCACAACTAACTTATCCAAGTCCCACCCAGTTGTGGCTGGGCATGCAGTGGTGAAGCAGTGAACTCTGACCAACCGCAGGGAGGGACCCGGGCCTAAAGTGGGGGTACCCAACTGAGGCCATCCACCAAAAAATTGAAAAATCCAGTAATCAATTTTTACAGACTGTAGTTGCAACACAGCTGGACCAAGCTACTGGAAGGCAGGATCTACTTGACTGCATCAATTTTTTGAGCTCACAAGCTACAAATTCTGTTGAACTGTTGATTTTTGGACAAATTTTGAATCAAACTTGGTTTCATCTATCTTAGCCTGCATGGCTCAGGCTTTCCATGTAGCATCAAGATCTCATTTTCACTGTTTTGAGTTTGATTTCTTTGAAGACAACAATCTTGGCAAAACCGAGTTGATGGAAGGCAACACAAGATGCAAGTGCATCTTTCCTTCTGTGGAAAGATATATGTAGCCCATCAAATGAGGGAGTTACAGGTTGTGTAACTCAAGTATTGCCCTGTGGGAGGGGGGCTTTGCCACCAGCCGGTGCTTCACACCAGCAAGCCTCCCACCAGGGGGGACTTTGTTGGGTTAGGGTTCACAGCTTCTAGTGTGAAGCTCTCTTGGTTCTTGCAAGAAGCTGCAGCACTGCTGCAGACATAAAATTTAGAGCGGGATTTTGAATTTTTGCTGAGAAAATTAATGTCAGCAATGCGGGAGCAAGAAAAAAATGATGGGTGCAAGAAGTGAAAAACACTGTCATGAACCCAGCTATTGGTGGCCTCCTGTGCTCCAACAAAGAGGCCATTACACAAATCATGAAGGTGACATCCAAGCTGTGAGATATCTGGAGCAAAAACTAATTTCAAATAGTTAAATTACAAATCATAAATTGATCAAAAATTGAGCCCAAGCCAAGCTTTTTGGCAAAGATAATATGTACTACACAAATTTGTGTTCTCAATTGTATGTAGGATCTGTACAGCATGGGTGAGTAGCATGATGATTAAATTCAAACATAGGTCTCAAAGTTGGCCCTTTTTGCAGAAGGGGCAAGGTTGGATTATGCCATCTGCAACTGTACTTTTGACCAACCAATTAAAGCCAAACATCACATACAGTCAACTCTACTATAACCCATACTCCCCATAGTTCAATTCATAATTGACTGTGGAATGGTAACAAAGTACAGAACTGTTACATTCATTCCCTCTGTACAGAATGCTCAATGTGGTCACTTTGACAGAGATACCACATCTTGTACCACCTCTCATGCAACAAGCTCATTTTCAGGTTAGATCAAGTCTCCAACTTTCTATGCAAAGGATGGATTAGTGTTAGCAAAAGAACGGTTTGAAAAAATATATAAACACCAAGGTCTTATGCTCACCTATTGGAAAAACATTTCTGCCACCCATTTGGTTGGATGGGCTCAAAGTAATGAGCAGTTGAGTGTGAGACAAGACATTTTACATCTCAGTTGATACCAGAATATGGAGGGTTTTGGCTAAAAAAATCATCCAACTGGGCGGGGAAATCTTCATGGGGCTTGAGATTATTGCACCAAGCCACTCAGAGGAAGATGACTCAAAGAAATCAGAGATGGAACTGGTTAATTGTACACACTACTAGATGAAGAGGTACTCAACATCTGATCAAGATAAAAAGTAGTTATTAGAATAATGTGGAAAAGTAGGCAATATGGTGAATTCAAAATTGGAAAGAAATCAATCAACATAAACAATTGTTTGTTAATGATCTTATAATATGAGGGAAACCCATCTCATGAAAGTGGCTGGTAATGGGCAAAAAATGGGCCAGAATTTCTGACAGCAGTTGACTACAATTCCACACATCTTAACACTGGTGGCACTGGCAGTTTGAGTTCAGCCAGTTTTTTTGGCTTGCAGTGTCAAAGTCAAGGCTTGGTTCTCCTTCCAATGAAAAAAAAAGCTGCATACCATGAAAGAAAAGATGGATGAATGAAAAACAGGAATGTAACCAATATTTGTTATACAATAAACAACACCAAAAAACACAACAAAGCCAAGTGAATTAACAGTCTGAGAGAAGAAAAAGTTGTAGTATCACAAAATCGTGCAAGATTTTCCTCTTTCCATAACAAAAAGGCGAGGAACAACAAGTATAAGAACGATGATGAGAAGAACAATAACAATATAACAACAGTCTCTGATTAAGTATTACAACGGGTTGAGGTGCAGGTTTTGGTTCAAGAGGATGAGGATGAATTGAAATAAAAAAAAAACAGGAATGTTTTTGCTTCCCTCTAGCAAAAGAAAAAGGCAGACGAACCAAAAAGAAGGGGAAGGGGAGCTTGTGTGTGTGTGTGAAGGGGGAGATTATTTGAATGAGAGATGGCGACTTTCGACCAACATCAAGCTCTCGGAATGGCCGTCATCAGGAGGGAGAGTATGGACGGGGAGCAGGTCATTGGGCCGGGGTTTAGACTGGCGATTCGAGAAATTCTGATGATGACGATGGGAAGAAGAAGACGAAGCGGTAGAGGATGAGACAGGATTGTTGGCTTGAATCCATAACTTGGTACCGAAGATCGAGGGTGAAAGGGGTTGGACCTCGGGCCTTTGTTCCGACGTTTCTTCTCTTTCTCGTCCTTCAATCCCACCTGATAATCCTTCCTTCGTCTCTCGATCATCATAATCATCATCCTCCTTCTTCATCTTTCCTGTCAATCTTCTTCGTCGCTCATTGTTCATTGACAACCATGATGCGGGAGATTCAGTGGGCAAGACGGTCGAACTAATCACACAAAAAAAATTGTTAGAAAAAAAGGGAAAAAAGAGGGAGAACAGTTTTTTGAAAGTAAATACCTGGTCTGGGTCATTCGAATAGAGTCCAGACTTCCCTCGGAGATGGATTGATTGAAGGTCAATTCAGGAGAGTCGATGGTAGTGGAACAGGAGGGACCATAGGGGGCAGAAGTAGGACTGAAGGTTAGGAAGGAAGAGTGGGAGACGGAATGCTCGAGGTTCTGGTGATCAGAAGCGAGCTGGGTGGTAGCGGACTGATATTCGATCAACGGACTCATGACATTCGAGTCAAAACTTGAGCTAAACCCGGATAACATGACATCCCTGATATGTTTCAAAGCGCCTAATGCCAATCCTTGGCTAGAATCTACGGGTTGATAGGACACTTTGAACAGCTCTTGCTCCAGTGCATCCACACATAGACCCAGAGCTTGCCCGACTTCTTGGTTGGCTAGACACTGAGTATGTTGGGATTTTAAGTTTGAGCTTGGGTTTTGTTTGGGGATCGTTGGGCTGAACGAGTTCATCAAGTTCAAAGGTGATTGTAATGGAGCTGCCGTAGATGATGGTGATAACTCTGATACCAGATGACTGTCTAGTGGAATGGTGGCGGAGTAGCTCTTGCGCAGATCGACCAGTGCGCCCAAAAAGCTTTTGCTTTTCGTCAACGATTGGCCCTTCTTGGAGCCGACCGAGCCGTGTTCCGACCCGTTTGATGGGTTCGCTCTGCTGTTATTTATCGGATTGGATGCCGTCTCAGTTGGTGCAGGTTGCTGTTTACGACTCAGCAAGTCTCGCGAATGTGTGGTGGTTGATGAAGATGTGGGTCTGCGCCTCATGCTAAACCAAGAACTTGAATCTTGGGATGAGGACAGTTCGCCAGTAAACAGTTGCAAGTCAACGTTTTGGCGGATGATCAACAGAACCGTGTCGGGGGTCGGGAATTGGTAAAGTAAGATAGCTTGATAGAGTAACAAGTCAATCTTCGAATCTCCGTCTGTTGGTCGAGGGAATCTGAGTATCAGCTGTAGTGCGCCAGTATAATCTGATTCTAGAAGACCTTCGCGTATTCGCAATAACATGGCAATGCAGACGAAGTCTGCCAATCGTAAAGAAGTTCCGTCTTGAGCAAAGATACCATCCCAAAGTGACAAACTTTCTTGATAAGTGAACTCTCTCGTAAACAATAGTCTCAACCATCGGATCCCCCACAACTGAGGTTCGATATCTAGTTTCTCAAGATGAGCCCAGAGTTCTGGGTCGGCATGTTTGAGATAGACGTGGAAGATCGAGGCGCATTTGTCAACGATAGGATGGACTAGCGAATCATCAGGACAAGCGGTGTTTGCGGGAGCTGGATGGATCGCAGCAAGTTGAGATGGCACAAAGCCGACCGACGTCAATGGTGTGGTCTGGCTGTTAGCAAGATCTCGAAGTGGCATGGACAAGTTAGGGTCGTACCAAATTTTCATCGGCCGCATGAGTAGTGAGAACAGACTGAACGCGTCATGCTCTAGGTACTCTCTGGATAATATTTGATGAACCAAGGCTGGCTTTCCTTCGCTCGGAGGGTCTAATGAATCTAAGTCGAGTGTTTCTAAGAGGACGCCAAGGACCTCATGCATCCCTTGCCGGTATCCAAGATCTTCATGAAGTTTACAATACACATGAAGAATGTTGATAAGCATCACTTGTACGCGTGTTTGTCGAAAGTAATCGAGTTCGGGAAAGGTTCGAACGACATCTTGCTTGATGATTTTACGTAACTAGAGAGTGTCGATGGAACATGTAGACCGGAAAGCAGACGACCTCAGAGGATACACGGTATGATTTGGATGAGCTCGACGATCAAGTTTCACTGACCTCAAGGTCGCGTAGCCATACATGCCAAGGATTCTGTATAAAAGATAGGACTCTGTCAGATAATCAGTAAATACCAAATACAGGAAGAGGGATAGTAACAGAAATTAATAAATAAAAAATCACTCACATCCTCGTGCTGACTCAGAGGGTTGTTCACCCCGAGATCTATGGGCTGAGAATTGGCAGTTGAGAGATGAGTAGAGAGAGCTTGGTCGTTCGATTTAAGAGGTAGATTGTAATCTGAGGAGCTCTCCACAGAATCCTCCAACCATAGACCATCTGGAGCTCTGAGATATTTTTGACGAAGGGTTTCCCAGTCTGATCTAGATCTTTCTAAGCCAAACGTCCAACTGGTTAGGGTGAAATTGGATAGCTTCTTTGATTGACGTGGAGGTGTTGGTAATTGTCCAAGGAAGATCTATTGTTCATGAAACAAACAAAAAAGAACAAATTGTATTAGTTTATGAGTTTTTGTTTTTTCATGAAAAAGAAGTTAAAAGAAGAACTTACTCTCCAGTAGACTGATCTGAGGATGGTGATCTTTCCTTGGAAGGCAGTTCTCTTGAGTTGGTTGAGGGAGATCGATGGGTCCGATAGAAAGTCGGTCCATTTCGAGCTAGAAAACCGCTTGTGGAGATGTCAGTCATGGTTAATGGTATCTGCTTCGTCTTTGGGTTCCTCAATGGGTGCTGTAGCTAACCATATCAGTTCTGGGTCTGGTCTCAGCCAGTCCATCCTGTTTTGAGGATGGGATGTTTCTTGGAGAAGTCGATTTCCATTCAACCATTGACTTCACCACACACCCCGACCCACCCGGGGATCGGTCAGCCATGGGGGACTGCACTCCGGAGCTTCCTTCGGGCCCCCCGTGATGACAGCTCTTTCTTAATCCATTCAGGGATTCAGACTTCAGTTGCTCGATCTGTAATAACAGATACATATTAGGAAATTCGCCTTTCCATAGGAAATCTTCTAATAATCCATCCACCTTCCTTTCTCTTGCGATCGTCTTGCAACCTAATGAATTTTCCACGGACACCATTACCATCTACCAGGTATTTCAACTACCAATGATACCTTGGTCCGTTCTTTCTTCGTTCGCGTACTTCGCTTCAGCTTTATTTTCGAGCTCACTTGGCTGTTCTTTTCCTAAGGTTTCAACTGTGATAATTATCTCCTGACGATCCATTTTCTCTATTCCCCCAAAAGCACTTGAGGCCCCGTAAGAACTTTGGGTGGGTCTGGAGGGCCGGTCTGGACATTTAGCCCATGATCATCTCTACGAGCCTTCCCTCTCCATTGAAAAAAAAAACATGACTCCTTTCATCCGTCGAGACCAAGCACCCAAAGATCATAATATGATCCTTGTATTTCGGATTCTGCACTATGGCCGGATCAATCGCGCGATCAAAGTCCAGATCATTCAAATCGTTGATTCAACGGCAAGTGGTTGAAAGTTTCGCTAACCCCCCGTCGCCCATCAATGTCTTGATCAGTTTCTTCGGCGTTACAAAAGAATGACTCACTGACCCCGTATTCTCGTTGATAGATAATCGATATTCCCGTGCCATCCTCAACTTGCCCCAAAAGGAATTAACTTCTTTCTTTTCCTTCAACAACACATCAACCACGTTGGAGACGTTGGACGAAAGGCAAATAGATGAAAGCCATGGAGCCCGACAAAAAGAACTGGTCAATATGGGGGTCGAACCCATGACATCCGCATGTACCTCGACCAGGCCGGCTTCTAACCGGTCCGGCGCAAGTATTAGTACGGCGCTCTAACCAACTGAGCTAATCGACCGGCGGATATCTGCCGGAGCGGGTTTTGCGAATTACTCCTCGCATGGGAAGGAATTCATGAAGATATGAAGCAATGATGAGGCTGGAATTTTCTAAATTATTTTTTCCTGTTGGAATTCTCTTACTTTGTTTGTTTTTCTTGATTCATTCTGGGTTTGGAAGCTAGAAAGATTGTGAACAAGAGAGGAAAATAAAACTTGAGTCAGCTTCATGTGAGCCCCAATCCAAAATAGCTGATTGAGAATCACAACAGATATCATAACCATGACATTCAGAAACCTTTTACAGATCTTGAGTCAGTTCTAGCAGTGGAAAAAAAAACAGGTGCTGAACTAGTCAACAACTCTATGATCTACCATGGTCCATTCACAGCTGCCAAATGATCTTATAATCAGGGTCAAAATGAGCAGTTTTGAACTGCACTCAGGATGAAATCAGCTTGGTAATGGTGGGCCCAGTTCAAAAAGGAAACAAAGGCTCTTCTATACCCTGCCAAGTTTTACTTATAAAGTAAACCAAGTTACCAACCAACAACCATCCTCCAAACTCATCTCATCTTATACACATCAACTGATTCCTACCTTCAAGAGTTCTGCTGGTTGTATTACTTGTTGTATGTATGTTTGGATTTTCTGTCCTCAGATACTTCATTTATGATGCCAATCATCTTGAAGGCTGAGTCAGCTGATTGGTATGTCACTCTTGTCATTCAGGAGTAGGACTCCAACACTTCTGTTCCTTCAAAAAGATCTACCAAGAGAAACCCCACACAGACTCTTTTTGGATTTGTTAAAACCACTGCACTCACAGGCTAGCACTACTTTCAGATTGTGGTTATGCAGCACTGGGAGAAATGTATGTCCAATACCAGATCCCACTGAAATGCTCCTTTTCTATTGAGACTCAATGTGGCACACACTTCCTTCCTTGTCAATTACTGCAGCCATTCTCTGCTCATCCAAAACCTAAAACATGATGATGAGTGCACAGGACAAACCCTAATCCATCTCACTCCCTAATCCAGAAGCTAGCTTGCTTAACTCAATTGGATTGGACTCCTTAGCAAATCTTTCTTTCCCTTTTGACCAATCTTTGAATACTCCTCACAATCTCAAAATCACTTATTATCCTTCCCCTTCAATGCCAAATGGGTTGTATCAGTAACAGCCCCCCTGGGGTAAGGTAATATAAGATCAGTCTCTGACTCTTCCCAACCACTTTTATATTGGCCCACCAATGTATTTCCCCTTTCTTGAAATGTATTGGGAGGCCCAGCCAATATAAACTTGGTCTGGGAGACCAGTTTTATATTGGTTTCCTCTGACTTTACTGGGGGGCAATGTAACCAATACACCTTTTGGAGTGCTTCCTTACCTCCACATCCCCTTCCCTCAATCTGAACTCACACAATCTCCCACTCCCAATTAACTCCACATCAAAATACACTGCCTTGATTCAACATCACATCCTCAACTCAGTCTCCTCAAATGCAACTTCCTCAGACACATTGGGTTTTCATCCTTCTTTGCAAGAAATTATTGACCCCAGCAAGTATCATGCTGTTATGTCTGTGTCATAGAATGTTTGTAATTTTCTTCTTTGTCATTTTATACATTCTCTTTAATTTCTATTGTTGGTTTTCTGGTTATTCTTTTTTTCCATCAGTTCTGGTTTGGGATTAAGCAATAAAGTGATAGGTTTGATATGTTCCCCTTCCATTTCCACCTTTGTCTCTTGCTTCACAGAATTGATGACTTATGATTGTGGGGGAGGCATTGACCCTCAAATGATCAGTTTGATATGATCTCTGGGCTCCATTTTTTGTCCCAACCTGAATCACTAGTTAGAATCAAGGGGATATGATTTACTGGAACTCTAACTGAGATTTCATTCAACATTAACATTAACAGTAAAGATTAGCTGGACACAGAAGATCTTTGGTCAGAACATCCACATCCCCCATGCTACTGGAAAGGAAGCTGCACAAACCCACTCCTTGAAAATAGGCTTTTTCAAGGTTGGCTCAGACTTTTGGTATATCATCCTAAATGCTACCTGAATCTGACCCTATACACAACAGCCAGATTGCAGAATGCAGATGGATTCTGGGGACCATCCCTTTCCCACTTTCATTCTCCCAAGTCAACTGCATCATTTCAAAAGAAGTCATCTTAAACAATCAGTTGACCAAGAAAAGCAAGAACATCTGCATCAGTTGATCGGATTAGTGAGGATTAGAAACCTCTTTAATCCCAGGATTAGTGGGGCATAAATTTAATCCCCATTAGCTCCAATCCTCACCCTGGAGCTAACTCAGCCCAACCTCTAATCCCCACCAATATGGTTGGGAGGATTAGATTAGGCAGCTAATCCTGGCTAATCTGCACACCAATGCAGATGCTCTAAGAAAGAAAGCCAAAGCTATCATCATTTGGATAGTTCATTACAGAAAAAAATAAAATTCAAAAAAAAAAAACAAGTGATAATCAACAGAACTAATTCAGAAAAAATAAAGAACAAAAACAGAGCAACAAAATAAAGGGACACAAACCAAACCAAAACAATGATGAAAGACAACAATAATGGGAGAAAAAAAAAGATGAGATGCTGTTCAGAATAGATAATGGTTGGAAGAGGAAGAGACATAGAGAGTCATAAGAGAGGAGCAAACCTAAAAAAGAGAATTAATAAATAAGCTATGAGAAAAAAGAAACACATATTATAATGATGATGTTAATGGAGCGGGGAGGTGAATGATGAATCTGAATTTTGTCAACCAACCCCATGTTGATTGATTCATGGCCAGAACACTAATAGAGATAAAGAAGACGGTGATGGATGATCACGTGAGAGGGAGGATAAAGACGCCAAAAGATCTGCAACTCGAAACCAAACAGGAAAGGATAATAAGGATTTCGGGATTGGAGGTTGGGGAGGGAAGGAGATGGGGGATATCTGGATCAAGATCTACAGAGAGAGCGCAGAGAGATGAAAGGTGGACGAAGAAAGAAAATAAAGATCTAACTCTAAATCCAAAAATCACCCAGAAATTCATCGTAAAAAAACAAAAGGACGAGGAGGGGGGGGTATGGTTAAAGGTATGAGAGACGACTTGAAGTTCGGCTCCTCGTTCGTCAAACAAAGAGAACAAAGAGAATGAGAGAACTTGGCCCAGGGTCCTTTGAAAAGAATATGAGGGGGCAAGAGAAAAGAGACAGAGAATGGGAAGGCCATCGGCTTATGCAGCCTGGTTTGTGGTCGTCGTCGTGTTGTTTTTACGCTGGGTGACGATGACGATGGCAATAATGGCAGCAACGATAGCCACTATTGTAAAAAAACATGAATGCGGATCGATTGAATTTAGTTCGAGGAAGGAAGAAGTTGAAACATGGAAGTAGAATGAAGGACGGCGGTACTTACAAATCAAGATAATCACGACTGTGGAGAGCGTGGGAAGAGAAGTGAGAACGGTTTGGATCAGTTTCTGTGGACGGCCAAGAGTAGGATGGGGATGGGGGGATATGGAGACCGGAAGGGATGCTCACAGAAACAGATCCATCGTTTGCGGCGAGCGGAAGCAGCCGAATCGCGAGCCTTGGTAATATGTTGACCACTAAACAAATCAAATACAAAAAAAGTCGAAAGATCGATTGAGTTTCACTGGGAAGGGAAAGTAGTGTGATAAAGAGAACTATAATAGAAGGAGACTGAACGCTTGTTCGACATCGCGCTGGATCTCGCCAGCATTGTTCTCGACATTCTGGATCAGTTGGTCTTGCTCCTCGACCATCGTCGCCAACTATGTCGAAACGAGAACAAAGATAGAAGTATTGATCAGTCCCCGGATCAGTCGACGAGGGCTTTTTTGATGTGGATATATTTGATCGCGACTGACGTCGTTGAACATTTCCATCAGCTCGGTGATCGTCTTTTCAATCCGCTTGACATCTTCGTGTCGTTCTTTGACTTCATTGAACGCGGCTCTCGCGTCCCCGTATCGATTCGAGGTCATCAACTAGGTCAGATGGCGATGTGAGTCATATGATTGATTCAGGGGCTGGGTTTAGGAAGCTCCACAGAGTACAGAGGAGGGAGTAGAAAATATCCTACGGCTTGTGAGAAGATTTGGCCACCATCATCGCTATCAACGGCTTGTCGAATCTCTTCTGGGGTGGCATCGGGTTTGACAATTCGATATTGACGCTCCATCCTGGCTTTATACTTCTGACGACTTTCTTGTTCGACCGATTGATATCTTTGAGATATTGAAAGATGCGGATAGCAGCAGAACAAGTAGGTTTGTCGGTGAAAAGTGACAAAAGATTCGATTGGAGGAGGAGAAGAAGTCGCGAGCATACCTCATGATAGAGTCCATGAAACGCTTCTTGAGTGCTCCAACCTGAGTAGCGCGTACATTGGCGTCCCCGTTATTGATGCCTTGATTGTTGGAGATGGAAGATTGGAGGGAGCGGATTCGGTTCTTCAAGTTACGAGTCAGACGAGAGGTTTCGGAGGTAAGGGCGGCTAATTGATTGGAAATCGACTGATGCTGTGCGTCATCTAATTCGGATAATAAACGAGTGTGATACTCTTTGACTCTATCTACATTTTCATTCACCGTGCGAATCCCATCGTTGAGTGAGGAGACCTGTGGTGGTAGCGGTAAAAAGGAATAAGAATTGAGATCAGTTTGAGAAATTGGGAAAATTGGGTTTGTTTGGGAGTAAGGCGAGACAACAAACTTCATCCATGAATGAGGACATATCCAGATACTTCTCTTTCATCTCGTAGCTGTCCATATTTGACTCCTTGGGCGGTAGATCATCATGACTGTCGTGTGGTGATGGTTTGCGGTTTGAGTTATGCACGGCCATCGAAGGTGGTGTGGGTTCTGAAGCGTAGTTGTTGTTCTGGTTTGCCTGTGTATGGAAAGATTTCCAGTTAAAAATATTTTCTTCAATAGGAGACAGTTGTAGGTTGATTGCTTACTCTCATCGCAGCTAGTCTGTCCCGGGCCATTGTTAGTTATTGGTATGGATGGATGGATGGATGTGAGTTGACTTGGTTTGAGTTGTTGGTTGGTTGGTTCTTGAAAGGAAAAGGAAAAGGAAAGGAGTGGGGTGTGTCTGCATACAAGTATGTGTGTCTGAGGGCTGTGCTGTGCTATCCAATTTCGAGTGTGCAGAGAGAGAGAGCAAAAGACCTCTATAAACCCATACATCCTTGTCGCTACTGACAGTCACTCCTCTCTTCAAACCCATAAATCTCCAAACAAAACTCGGTGATGAGCATGAAGATCCTGTCAAAGGGTCATCGCCCCTGCCAAGTCGAATTAAACAAACAGAGTCGCAGACAAACAAGGGTGCTGAGCAGCTCAAAAACAGAAGCAATCAATGACAAACACCCTCTGGCTTCTGCCAGCAATCAGGGTATGTACATACACATATTATTTACATACAGACTTGTTTATCATCAGTTTTACCTTACAATCTTGTGAATGTTACCATCCTCTTATGCACATCCACCAAGCTAACTATGTGCACAGTGCACACCCAAACCTGATCAGTGACTAGAACTGCCCTCAATTCAATGATCAACCGCTCAGACAGCCAGCTCTGAGTAGTCATTGGATACACATTCTGTCTGCATTGTTGATAAACTTGCTTGCCCAACAAATACATGCTGATGGTCCCAGTGCTACCCATCAACAGAAAGAAGAGCCAAAGTTAAACAACCCTGTTTTTAACATTCACACATGGCCAATTTACTCCCCCACCAAGAGAAAGACAGAGTACAGGGATGTGAATGAGAAGCAGAAAGAGGTCACATCAAATGACAAGTGTTTCAATTCATATTTTTGCAGAAAGTGAGTTGATTTGATTTTTTTTTTTTCATTTTTGTTTGATGATTGACTTACACCGGTCTTATATCCTGGATAGTGTGACTGATCTAATTAGAGTAATCTACCTGTTTGGATAAATAAATAGATAAAAATCAACAGTTCCAATCTCATTTGATCCTAAAAGAAGAATGATTGGCCCTTGGAATTATTTAGTTTAAAACAGAACAGTAGCACTAATTAAACTCTAAATTTAGGCAAATGTGATCAAATTTGAAACTTACAATCCATTTTCTGTATTTTCATGAGAGGCTCAGGCACTAGATAAAAAGAGGGTGTTGGAGAAACAACTCCCTAAAATTTGCCGACAACTCCCATTTTGGTCGAGGGGTCGTCGGACAGGAGTCGTCTTTCCAATTCCTCCTGGGGGATTGGGAGTTGACCTCCCAAATGTATTTTTTTATTTTTTTATTTTTTTTGGGTGGGAGTCGGTGCCCAAAACCCTCCTTGGCAAGTGGGAGGTTTGGGAGTCGCCTCCCTCCCACAGCCGATGGGGATTTTCCCTCCAGTCATCAAGACTGTACAGTCTTGATCACCCCAGGGAATCTCTCCCGGCTAGCGGGACTTGGAGGGAGTTGGGTCTTGATGACCGGAAGAATCCCTTCCAGTCATTGAGACTGCTGTTGTTTCTACGCGACCGGAAGGAATTCCTTTTGGTCAATGGAGTTATTATGCCTCATCAACCGTAAGGGATTCCTTCCAGTTGATCAGGCTGTTACACCTCATTGACTGGAAGGAATTCCTTCTGGTCGATGGGGTTGTTATACCTCATTGACCAGAAGGAATCCCTTCTGGTCGATGAGGCATAATAACTCCATCAACCGGAAGGAATTCCTTTTGGTCGAGGAGGTTGTTATAACTCATCGACCAGAAGGATTTCCTTCAGGTTGATGAGATTGTTGTACCTCATCACCGGAAGGAAATCCCTTCTGGTTGGTGAGGTGTTATACCTAATCACCGGAAGGCTTACACCTCATTGATTGGAAGGAATCCCTTCCAGCCGATGAGGTTTTTGTTTCTTTTTGACCGGAAGGATGTCTACCCACTGCAAATACACATCTTGAATTCCAGGAGGGCCATCAAGACTTGTATATAGCCACAACCCCAATTCTCCAGATGGGTTTTCTCATTTTGTTTAATCAAAATTCTTTGGGATCTGACTTCCATTCCCACTCCTGGAATGGAAGGAATGAATCCCAAGACTTAGGGTGGGCACATCCTGAGACAGTACCCAAGTGGTCCTCCCAACAAATCCCAAATTTGGGAGTCAATTAATCAAGCCCCTATAGATCTTGGTTGTAATTTTTGTCCATTTTTTTCCTCAAGAGACTTATCTCATCATTTTTCTATATTATACTAAAACATCATACAAAACACAAAAGTCTTATATTGTTTCACAGATAAGAATTAAAAATTATTTGAAGTATAGGAATCAAAGCAGAATGGCAAAAGTGTAGTTCTTTACAGAATAGATAGTCACACAGTTTTCTGCTGTGTTTTGTTGGTTTAACATTGCATGAAGCTAAGATGTAGTGTTGTAACAAAGCTAAGTCACTCAATGATGTGATTGAGGCAGTGCTAAGTAAGTGTGAATTGGCGGGTAGATTGTACAATTAAACTCGCAATTGGTGAAATGATCTAGCAGCGTGTTGAAAGTTACGTATAGATATGTTGAACTGAGTGTTCCAAGTGACAAACCAGGTCTTGTAATAATTTTGGACTGGGAAACCTTCGGTATCTGGGACCAAAGGAAGATAATAAAGGATTACAAGCAGCAAAGCAGATTCCAAATGGGATTTGAGATCGTTCGTAATTTGAGTGAACTCTTGGTTAGTCGAAGCTCTGTGAGCAAGATCAGCTTTGAAGAGGAGACCAAGGAGTGGTTCAATATCTTGAGCAACATATGTTGTCGATTTGGCCAGAGTTTCGATTTGATCTGAACACATTTCGCTGAACGTCAAGAAGCGTCTCTGATTCATCCCGCGTTTCGATAGTTTGGCGAAGAACAGCTTTGATAACTTGATGATTGGTATGAAAACGCGAGCGAGCTGGATGACGGGTTTGTGATTAAATTTCCTCACTTTCTGTTGAGCTTCTTCTGATAAGTTGGCTGGTGGATTGATCAGGGTAAGGATTTCTTCCATCGTCTTCTCCATTCCACAAAGGTCATACCCCCAGTTATCTTGGATGAGATCAAATTCAGGATGTTCTAGCATTTGAATGGTTGACTCGATCCTCTCCGACGCGCAATCGACTTGAACACACAAATCCTGTCTAGAAGGACATGCGTCAAATTGGGGCTTCTGTTCTTCCGGCGCAAGCTCGATTTGTTGAAAGAGATCGCGGGCCCGATAAAAGACTTGGAGGATATTGTGCATCACCCCTACATGAAGTAAGATCCTCAGACGGTATATCCTAGAATATTTTAAACTTCTGAAGTGCTGATCATTGGTTGGCATTTGCGCGGATCCCGGTCCTGGACAGACGGTATTCATGACACATTCGATTTGATCAAGTACGTGTTCGATTTCAGACTGGATCTGTAGGACAAGCCTGAGTTTTTTGTTTGGTTCTTTCCATAATCCAGAAGGGATTAAAGATTGAGAGAGGGTATTGATGCGGGTGTTAAGGAAGGGAAGGTGGTCGAGATGTAACCGATTCAAGAAATCTTCCTTCGTGTTGACTTGATCAATAGAGTGGGCCGCGAAATAGGCCGCAAAAGCCTCTGGGGGCAAGGCTGCCTCAAGGTGAATGATAGCCAGTAGCTCGCATCTGCTTATCAGACGGTCAAACCCTATGACAACCAGATCTCATAGAGTCAATTCATAACTGAGTCAGTTGAGGTTTGTGGAGCTTGAGATTGATGTTTGGATGAAACAGCAAATGATGGGTACATACCTTCTTGGGACCATTGCCCATGGTCATTGCCTGAAGGGTCTCCGATTAAGTCAAGCATCTTGACAACTCCCAGGAAGTAGCTGGACGGACAAACTGCAACATGGCCCCGCTGCAGGCGGCCACTTGCATTCCCCAGCCCTTTTTTTTTTTTTTTTTTTTTTTTTTTAAGTGCTATTGATTTCACATACCGCACTATATTGTATATCATCTGTATGTACAAAAAAAACCCGTATACAAAATGGGCAAAAAATTATCTGTATTTTATAAATGCCTAGTGTTTTGATGACTACAGTGTGATTAATCCAGCGGGTAGAAGAAAAGGAGGGAGAAAGAAATTAAAATTTGCAACAAAAAGGAATTATGATTTCCATCGCCTCCTCTTACGGCTTTGGATTTCTTGTTTCATTAGTGGGCAAGTATCAGACCATGGGGAGTGAGAGAGTTTTTCATCTAATGTATTAACTGCTTTTTTTGATACAAGTTTGTCATGAGAAATGCAGACACAGCAAGTAGAGGAAGAAGGTGTTGATAGGTCACAAGCTGAAGATGTGTGATTGCCATGGCATTTGTGACAAAGTGAAGAATTTTTACACCATTGAGAAGTGTGTCCAAGTTTCCAACAATTGAAGCATTGTGGGATTGATCGTTCGTAATGTGCACCTCGATATAGTTCATTTTGTAAAAATAGGCCTGACCGTTCGATTTTCAGCGCAATGTCTTTGTCTAGCAGTTGAAGTACCAGCGAACCGTTCTTCTTTCCTTTCTCTATTGGGTTTCGGAGCCATCGAGCTGATTGAATCAGGTTTGGATCAATCCGGTTTTGTGTTCCTAGCTCTTGCAGGTGTGAAGTATCTGTTGGATTAAAGTTAGTCGGGATTGCATGTAAGATAACGGGATATCGGTTGGGGAAAGTTTTAAGTTCGGTGCAAAGCAAGTCTGTCCACTTGTGTTTGTTGTTGAGCAGCCACCGTGCATTTGATCGCGATATCGTATAGATCTTCAAATCTTTAGAGGGAAGTCGCGCAATACCGTCAATTTCAATTTGGTGTGAGTCGATTTTGGCGTCAATAGAAATCAAAATCTTATTAATCTTAGTCGTGATGTCTGTTGCTGTCGCTGAATCTAGTGCAACAAACCCAGGCGGAGTGCGAATTACTAGGCTAGATTTATTGAACTCATTTATTTGTGTGTTTGATGGTATCATTGGTGTTGATTTCCCTTGCTTGTTTATGGTAGGATTCGTTTTCTTATTGTTGGTAGTGGTCGCTGAGGGCCAGGTCAAAGGTGTCGGAGGAGAAACTGTAAGGGGTTGTTGTTCTAATCGTTCTAGTCGTTCAGTGATCTTTTCCAGATGCGATTCAATATTCATAGCAGATTTTAGTTTGATTGTTTGATCCAACAGAGCTTGTATTTGGGTTTCATTCAGTATTCTAGCCGGGTTCTTCGGTGAGAGAGCTTCATTCAGGAACTTCGTTATCTCGCCGAGTATTTTTAGCGGTGAATCCGTTGTTTGTGGTTCATGCAAAACTTGTCCGGTTGGTAGAGGAGGGGGATCGGGAATGGGAGGGGGGGGCATGGGATTGAGAGATTTGTTGCCTGTGGATTGGTTGAAGATTCGAGAGTAATCCATTTACCAAAAAAAGGTGACTTTGTGGTTCCGAGAAGCTCCTCCTCCCCAGCCCATGACCACACTAGCTTAGCACAATCCCCTCGTTCGAGAGGGACGGGGGGACCCCGGCGTGCCGGAGGCACCTCGCTCGGAGGTTGCGCCCGCCAGGCAACCTTGACCCGAAGAATCAAGGGGCTTTGTTAAGCTAGTGACCACATGTCACAGAG